TAAATATGTTTAAAAACCTATTAGGATTAGTAAATGGAACCTAAATGGCATATTCTTAATTACAGAATGATCATTCTTATAATAGAATGTAGCATTATAACTTCCTTAGTTAAAATCAATTACATAACTTATTGAATAAACATAGGAACTTATTTATTCTTCATGAAAACCAGACATAGCATATCTATCAATTCTTAGAGATGCGAATTCTGATAGTGTGGTAATTGAGATATAAGATAAATTTAGACCTTTAGTTAGAACTCCGATCGATTGATTAGAATGTTATTAGAGTAAGTTTTAGCCCATATAGAAAAGAAGAACTCTATAAAATTGTCACCTTTGGGATTTTATGATGCAAATTAAGTCAAATTCTCTGATGAAGAGTAGATAACCCATATTTATTTTAGAATATGTATTGTAAGTATTCTTAGATGTGGAAATGCATTCTTAAATGAAGCTTTAAAAGTGATTCAAGGAGCATCAATTGGATAATATTGTTTCAAAGAAATGAAAAAACATCAATGCCAAAGTATTTTTTTTGAAAAGCTTCCTAAGACTATTTATGAATAACAAATTATTTTGGTTGATCCAATGCTTGGAACAGGAGGAAGTGTAAGCATGGCATTAAAAATATTATAAAATTATGGTGTTAAGCAAGAAAATATAATATTTTAAATTTAGTTAGTTGTGAATAAGGGTTGAAAAAAGTTTTTACAGAATATCCAAACATTAAAATAATAATTGCTCAAGTTGATCCAATATTAATAAAAGAAATTAATTATTTGACTCCAGGAATCGGAGACTTTGGGGATAGATATTTTGGAACTGTTAAAAAACATACACGTGCCGAATACGTTTGATATGTTAAATAAATAACTTATGAATTATTATTAGAATTATATTTCTATTTAAACTTATAGCATATATCAAATATATAGAAATTAACACAAATAGTATTATCTATATAAATTATTAGAAGGTATATAAGTCATAATAATTGAAAATACATCAAATAAAAATAAAATAATAAGGGCATGAGTAATACATTCATAATCAGGAATATTTGAAATTGAATTCTAAAAATATTAAATAGATTTAATTTCTATTCTGTATCCTTCGGATTAAAAATTTCTCCAATATTAAACTATCTTTTATTAGCAAATATATCCTAATTTTATGTTTTAATTTATAGATAAAATACTTGAATTTTGTGATTATAAAAAATAGTTTAAATTTCTTATGTTATTTGTAATTTGTTAATTATAAATTATAATATTAATAAGCGAGAAAAATTTAGAAATGTTATCAAAGAGAGAAAGAAACAAATATAGGTTAATGATTACATTAAATCTTCTTAATAAATGTTTATAATGAATAATTATGTATTTTTTTATCAATTGATTCAATCTACATATTTTCTGATTTAAATAGAACCTGATCTATCATCCCAAGTGATTAAGTATTCTCCATCATCTGTCATCCTTCCAAATATAACTTTAGTTTAAAAATCTATTGACTATATAGTAGCAAACTCATCATTTTCATCTTTCTTGATTAAATTAACACAACATCCATTTTTATTTAATACTATCTATCTTTATTAGAGATACTATTAAGGAAAGAACCAAAAACAACCCCTATTCTTTTTTCTTTCACTTCCAACTCCAACTATAACCTCTTTAGTTTTGACGAAATATTTATCAATGCTATCTAACTGATAAATATGCATTTATTCCCTCTTTTCAGGTTAAAAAACTAAGATTTAGTCATTTATGAAACATAATCTTCTGCCCCATTATTTAATTTTTATTATTTAAAATACAATCCACATCTTCTATTCTTAATCATATTAATGGATTAATATTTAGCTGTCTTTTGAACAAGAAACTAATTGATTTTCAGTTGTATTTAAACTTATAGAACTTACAAAACTAGAATGTCCTCCTATTGTTTAAGAACATTCCCATAAATCATTATCTTTTATCCAAAATTTGATAAGCATATCATCGCTACTTGATATTAAAAGATCTTCATTTCGATTCATCAATAAACAATTTATTCCTCCTTAATGACCTTCTAATCTTTGTTTTATATCCCATTTTTAATTATCGTTTAGATAACAAATAGAGATAGTCTTGTCACAACTTCCAGATAAAAATCCATCTGATTTTTTCATAAAATATTGACAATAGATACTTTTCTTGTGAAAATTCAGCTATTATATCATCTTTAATTATCCTTTTTTAAATTCAAAGACTTATATTTTGCTTGACTCATATCCTCCTACCATCAGAGAAGCATCTTAATTAAAAGCAAATGAATTTATTTATTCATCCTGGATTGTATCAATCAATTCATATTTTAAAGTCTTAATCTCCTATTTAACTTTTTTGCCTGGACGATCAAACTATTGCTATGAAAATTCATTAAGACCAGTATAGATTGTCTCTATCATATATTCTGCACTCTTGGAAATCATTGATATTAGAGATTGTTTCTCTTTTCTAAACTTTATCTTTGAGCAAAGCAAATCATTCAATTGATTTAAATTCAATCCGTTTAACTCTTCCTCACTTATCTAACAACCAAATTTTAATTCTTCCTTTAGTGTAAAAAACAATTAATAAATGTGATCAATCATTTTCTCTAAATCAAAAATTAAATCTTCATCACTTTTATTTATTTATTATCTTCCAAAGTCTTTTATCTTCTAAACATCTTTTATATGAGTATTATGTTTTTCATTTTGTAAACACTTAAAACAAAATACTCTAAAATCTTTGCATTATTCATTTGTGCAAAGGAATTCCACATCTGTCTCATGATCAGGAATATTGCAATTCTAATTCATTATAATTAATTATTACTTTCATTTTTTTTAATCAAATACATCTCTAGATGGATATAAAATTTTGCAACATGTATGGTATTATTTTACTAATTAAAATTTATTCATTTTTCATAATAACCATATTAACTGGATAATTTGATTTTGGAAAATTTTTGATATCTATTTGATTAGTTCTATTCATGATGAATAGATTTATAAGCTGTAAATAAAATAATAAAGATGAATCCGTAATCTTAAAATTGTAAGAATACATTATCTTTCAATTTCTTTATTTCTTTTAAAAAATCATTCATTATTCTGTTTGAAGATTATAAACTTTTTTTTAGTTTTTATAATACTTTTGTTAATTTTATTCTTATACAGCAAACTGATATGATGGAAAACATTATTTGCGAGGATGTTCAAAAAAAATATAAATAATTGATTATATATGATTGATTTAATTATATATATTGAATATATAAATGAATATTTGATTGAATACAGTATTCATATTATAGAAATTATAACTAAATTTTGTTACTGTTAAAATTAATGATTATTATTAAGATAAAAAATAAATATATTTATAGATAAGAATTCATAACATTACTAAAATTTAAATTAAAGCCTTGTATTGTANGCCCCATTATTTAATTTTTATTATTTAAAATACAATCCACATCTTCTATTCTTAATCATATTAATGGATTAATATTTAGCTGTCTTTTGAACAAGAAACTAATTGATTTTCAGTTGTATTTAAACTTATAGAACTTACAAAACTAGAATGTCCTCCTATTGTTTAAGAACATTCCCATAAATCATTATCTTTTATCCAAAATTTGATAAGCATATCATCGCTACTTGATATTAAAAGATCTTCATTTCGATTCATCAATAAACAATTTATTCCTCCTTAATGACCTTCTAATCTTTGTTTTATATCCCATTTTTAATTATCGTTTAGATAACAAATAGAGATAGTCTTGTCACAACTTCCAGATAAAAATCCATCTGATTTTTTCATAAAATATTGACAATAGATACTTTTCTTGTGAAAATTCAGCTATTATATCATCTTTAATTATCCTTTTTTAAATTCAAAGACTTATATTTTGCTTGACTCATATCCTCCTACCATCAGAGAAGCATCTTAATTAAAAGCAAATGAATTTATTTATTCATCCTGGATTGTATCAATCAATTCATATTTTAAAGTCTTAATCTCCTATTTAACTTTTTTGCCTGGACGATCAAACTATTGCTATGAAAATTCATTAAGACCAGTATAGATTGTCTCTATCATATATTCTGCACTCTTGGAAATCATTGATATTAGAGATTGTTTCTCTTTTCTAAACTTTATCTTTGAGCAAAGCAAATCATTCAATTGATTTAAATTCAATCCGTTTAACTCTTCCTCACTTATCTAACAACCAAATTTTAATTCTTCCTTTAGTGTAAAAAACAATTAATAAATGTGATCAATCATTTTCTCTAAATCAAAAATTAAATCTTCATCACTTTTATTTATTTATTATCTTCCAAAGTCTTTTATCTTCTAAACATCTTTTATATGAGTATTATGTTTTTCATTTTGTAAACACTTAAAACAAAATACTCTAAAATCTTTGCATTATTCATTTGTGCAAAGGAATTCCACATCTGTCTCATGATCAGGAATATTGCAATTCTAATTCATTATAATTAATTATTACTTTCATTTTTTTTAATCAAATACATCTCTAGATGGATATAAAATTTTGCAACATGTATGGTATTATTTTACTAATTAAAATTTATTCATTTTTCATAATAACCATATTAACTGGATAATTTGATTTTGGAAAATTTTTGATATCTATTTGATTAGTTCTATTCATGATGAATAGATTTATAAGCTGTAAATAAAATAATAAAGATGAATCCGTAATCTTAAAATTGTAAGAATACATTATCTTTCAATTTCTTTATTTCTTTTAAAAAATCATTCATTATTCTGTTTGAAGATTATAAACTTTTTTTTAGTTTTTATAATACTTTTGTTAATTTTATTCTTATACAGCAAACTGATATGATGGAAAACATTATTTGCGAGGATGTTCAAAAAAAATATAAATAATTGATTATATATGATTGATTTAATTATATATATTGAATATATAAATGAATATTTGATTGAATACAGTATTCATATTATAGAAATTATAACTAAATTTTGTTATCTTCTTTCTATCATATTTTATTTAATAAATTGTATTGAAAATATGTATTATGTTTCATCTTCTTAATATCATATTACTTTTCATTATTATTAATCTTAAATATGTACAAAGTTTTATTTCCTTTATATCATATTTTTCAGTTAAATTACAATAAATCTTAAATACGAATTATGCTTTATTTTCTCATATTTTTTAATTTATTTTCTTTTTTCATAATGTATATTTTTAAATACATTAATACAATAAATTAAAAAGAGTTGGTTAAAATAATAACAATACAATTTATATTTACTAAATACCCATACTATAAAATTTTGAAGAGAGATATTTGCTTATGAAAATCATGAATTCAGTTAATTATATTTAATAAGGCAAAATGTGAAAAAAAACAATATTATTAGTTAACGCATTCAATCAGATTTTGTTTTAAAAAGCAATAAATAACATTTATGATGAATATTTATAGCTTTTTATTCTTAAATTGTAATTAAATCCAAAAATCACTAATTCCTTAACCAATTTAGAAAAAAACCGAAAACCGTTTTAATATTTAAAATGCTCTATAATTTTTCTCCCCTTTAAGTTACCAAAACTTTGGATTTATAGAATGATGAGTAAATATCGTTTCATCCCAAAAATATTCTAACTAAAATGAACTTGTCATATATATTTATGAGTTCCATAATTCATTTACATTATTCTTAATTCTATCATCCTAACCAATCAATATAATGATTTTATTTTAGAGAAAACTAGTTTGAATATTGTGCACTATCTGGGATTTATTTCTACCTATAGTAAATCTAACTTTTTCAAGGTTAATTCTGAGATATATTCTTTTGTATATTTATTTTGAGTTAATTTTCTTATTAAAACAGCATTTTCTTTTATAAACCTCTATTTTTTATTATCTAAAGAGCAAGCATTTCAACTCCAATAGATATGGAATATCAAAAAAAAATTTGGCTTATTCAAGTTCCTTTAGCACTTTTTAAATCAACAACACCAAAACATTTTTCATCCAAGAAGAATTTAGTCTATGATTGATGCTCCTGCTGCATAGCTGATTACGATTATAAATGAATGTAGTCAAAGCCTTTGATAGCTATAGAAAATGTGATAATATTCTCAAAAAATAAAAGTAACATAATCTTTCCATTTATTCAAATTTTAAGCATAAACAGAATTTTTTAATATAATCATAATATATAATTATATATATATTTAGAATATATTTACTGTAAAAAGATGTAAAAATTGCTCTAATAATTACTAATTAGAATATGCACATAAATTTGAATATAAAGTCAAAATCAGGGATTATCATTAATTTAGTAAAAGAGGATATATGCAGATTGCATGAGTACTTATTTTTTAGTTGCAGCTTTAACAGTTTCATCATTAAATAGAAACCATTAATGATATCTTTTGGCATAAGAGAAGTAATGGCCTTATTATAAATTGCCAGTGTGAACAATAACTGCTCTTAGTCTATAAGTTTAATTTCCAAAATTTAGAATATCCATAGGATAAGTTATAGTTTTATTATTTTTATGACATGATGGCAAGAATTAAAATCTTTTAAGATGCAACACAAGTATTTATGGAATCGAAATGATTTATAGACTTTTAATACAGGAGGATTAACATTTTGCACATTTATAATCTCTTAGTGTTTCATCTTTAAGAAATTCGTCAAGACATTCTTCAAGTGTTTTAGATTAAGAGATAGCTAAAGATAAAGTTAAAAATGGTTCGATTTATTTGACCTTATAATTACAATGTTGACATATAATATTAGTCTAAATTTTTCCTACTAAATATAAAATTTTCTACCTTTAAAAATTTGCTCGATATAATTAATATATGTTGACTTAGTTTCCTTATTAAAATTCAAAATTTCATCTTCTATATGTCCTAACAAATATAGTAAGAATTCATGGCAATCGTGTTAACTTTTAGGAAGAAATTAATTAATAATAAGTGTTTTGATAGTATTAATTTTAATAGGGACAGTACTAGCTTTGATTTAATCAATTAAATCAAAATAAGCTTTGGTATATGAAACAATATTAGCCTTTTTTTTGTCTATTAGTTGTTATTTAGATATTCTTTGGATGTATTTTACGATGAAATAATTAAGATCAGCTATGCTTAATAGGGATTATAATCCAGAATGCATATAACAAAAGTAAGAATCATTTTTCATTCCAATAAGCGGTAACTCATAAGTAGATTAAGAATGAGAAACAGACTGTCGATTTATTGTAGGTTCAACAGTCTTAGATCTTTTATCATTAGTTCTTGAATGTTTTTATTTACAAATTATATCTGGATTAGCTTTATATTCTTGCTTAAAAAATATCCATACGGCCTCATTAACTATTATATATTAAGTACAGTTATTATTATCTAAAATACCTGGTCTTTCTCCGTTTTGATATAAATATTATTTATATTATGAGATCCAATTTTCTCGAACCGCATAAAATTGAGTGGATCGCTTATCCTTCATGAGTTCTTTGATTATTGCTGCTTCCAATTCTCTTTTCTCATTTGAATCTTACATGCTTCTATATTAAGTAAGCATATAAGTTGATTATGATGTTGATTGAGAAGAAGTTTAACTAGATCCTATGGACGGTTTCTTTCTCATAGGAAATAATGGTACATATANTATATAATTATATATATATTTAGAATATATTTACTGTAAAAAGATGTAAAAATTGCTCTAATAATTACTAATTAGAATATGCACATAAATTTGAATATAAAGTCAAAATCAGGGATTATCATTAATTTAGTAAAAGAGGATATATGCAGATTGCATGAGTACTTATTTTTTAGTTGCAGCTTTAACAGTTTCATCATTAAATAGAAACCATTAATGATATCTTTTGGCATAAGAGAAGTAATGGCCTTATTATAAATTGCCAGTGTGAACAATAACTGCTCTTAGTCTATAAGTTTAATTTCCAAAATTTAGAATATCCATAGGATAAGTTATAGTTTTATTATTTTTATGACATGATGGCAAGAATTAAAATCTTTTAAGATGCAACACAAGTATTTATGGAATCGAAATGATTTATAGACTTTTAATACAGGAGGATTAACATTTTGCACATTTATAATCTCTTAGTGTTTCATCTTTAAGAAATTCGTCAAGACATTCTTCAAGTGTTTTAGATTAAGAGATAGCTAAAGATAAAGTTAAAAATGGTTCGATTTATTTGACCTTATAATTACAATGTTGACATATAATATTAGTCTAAATTTTTCCTACTAAATATAAAATTTTCTACCTTTAAAAATTTGCTCGATATAATTAATATATGTTGACTTAGTTTCCTTATTAAAATTCAAAATTTCATCTTCTATATGTCCTAACAAATATAGTAAGAATTCATGGCAATCGTGTTAACTTTTAGGAAGAAATTAATTAATAATAAGTGTTTTGATAGTATTAATTTTAATAGGGACAGTACTAGCTTTGATTTAATCAATTAAATCAAAATAAGCTTTGGTATATGAAACAATATTAGCCTTTTTTTTGTCTATTAGTTGTTATTTAGATATTCTTTGGATGTATTTTACGATGAAATAATTAAGATCAGCTATGCTTAATAGGGATTATAATCCAGAATGCATATAACAAAAGTAAGAATCATTTTTCATTCCAATAAGCGGTAACTCATAAGTAGATTAAGAATGAGAAACAGACTGTCGATTTATTGTAGGTTCAACAGTCTTAGATCTTTTATCATTAGTTCTTGAATGTTTTTATTTACAAATTATATCTGGATTAGCTTTATATTCTTGCTTAAAAAATATCCATACGGCCTCATTAACTATTATATATTAAGTACAGTTATTATTATCTAAAATACCTGGTCTTTCTCCGTTTTGATATAAATATTATTTATATTATGAGATCCAATTTTCTCGAACCGCATAAAATTGAGTGGATCGCTTATCCTTCATGAGTTCTTTGATTATTGCTGCTTCCAATTCTCTTTTCTCATTTGAATCTTACATGCTTCTATATTAAGTAAGCATATAAGTTGATTATGATGTTGATTGAGAAGAAGTTTAACTAGATCCTATGGACGGTTTCTTTCTCATAGGAAATAATGGTACATATAGTTATCTAAAATATCCCTTTTTACTTCATACTTATCTTCAGACTCATCTTCGATATTTTCATTTTGCTTCATTTATGAATCGAATATGATCATAAAAAATATTAATCAATTAGATAACAATAATATAATAATAAGATATGTAAAATGACATGTCATTCTTAATTCGATGATTTGATAGCTTAATATTCATCAAATAAAGATTATATTTAAAATCCTTATGTGGTTTCAAACTTCAGCTTTCTTCCCTTAAATCCAATTTCTATGGACCCTGGAAATACATTAAATGATTAGGGTTCTTCAATTTTCTCCCATATTCTATCTTTAGAACTACTATAAAGTCTAATTCCATTATAACTAACTCCCAAAACTAAGTTCTATTCCCCAAATTATGACAATGCCTCTTTGCACACTACTTGAAACAATTATTAAATGCAGAAATCATTTCTCAAGCATTCTGTAATAAATTGAATCATTGCTTTAGTTGAATCAATATTAATATTTTCAATTTAGGAGAATTGTGTTTATGTAGATTAAACAAAAGATGAAAATATACCTTTTGATTTAACTTTAACTATATCCTCAGGTTCATTGATTTCAACCATTGTAGATTATGTATTGTCTATACTAGCTTTAAAGTCTTTAAATTCTTGGGCTACAACACAATTCCAATACTCTCTTTGTTTTAGCTATAAAATAGCAGATGGAATGATTTATTGAATGATATCATATGAGAGACTGCAATTCTATAAATATAAATGTATGGCGGCTAATTTGATATATTAATTTTAAGTTGAAAATGGGAATGTTGAAATCTAAATATCTTTTACTAATTAGTAATACAAGAGTTTCATCCTAGCATTATCAGCATAGAGTAAGGTTTTCTCATATTCTTAATCCTAATATAAAAACTTTTTGAACCAAAGTTCTTTTTTTTTTTTAGCAAAAATAAAACTATCTCCAAACAAATCACATATATTTTCATCATTTTGTAATATCTTAACTCTAGATTTATTATCAAATATGTATAATTTAAAGTCGTAAATTTATTACAATTCCATAATCTTCTAAATCTGATCTAATACATGCAAAACTTTAGTATTATTCTGTATATTGAACTCCCATGGTTTCTCTTTAGGTATAGAATGATTTACTATTATTTATATTGCATCCTTCTCTTTTTTCTTTTTCTTTTCCTCTACTAATGTAATGTTTCTGCTTATCATAGATGATGCACTTAATAATCTTCGATTACATTAATTACTCTAAATAGATTGTTAATCATTTCCATAGTCAACAGTTTTTATTAATGTTCTAGTTGGAGAAACATAACTGAATCTATCAGGTCCTCTTTGAGCAACATTTCTTTAAGTTCTAAATTTATCAGCTTCAGAAGGTAAATCATAGAAATTCTCAGGTAAACCTAAGTCTTTCAAAATTTATGAATCTTGTCTTGTTATTTCTGACATTAGAACTGATTAAACAAACAGAGGTATTGATATCATTCTTGATTCAATTTCTTTTTAATCATTCAATAAACTTAATGTTGTACTTTATTTTAAGAAATGTAATTAGATTGTTGGATATTTCTTTTTAATATAATCTTAGATCTTAATACATTAACTAAATCTTAAAAATAGTTTCTAAAAAACTTCATCAATTCCAACTTCAATTATATATACTTTATAACTACTTAAATTTTCATGTCTTTCATCAAGACCTAAAGCAGTTACTTTAATCTTATTTAATTATACTTTTATCTCAGATCCTTGACGAGATGCTTGCCTTTAAAATGTGTATTTAGATTTTTCTTTACACTCTTAAATAATCTTTTGTAATTTAGCCATTTTTTCAATTTTATCATTTGGTGTCTCTTCTATAAATGTAATTGATTAACCATTCATTCCTTAAAGAATATAAATATTTTATAGATGTTATTGATTTTGTACATCTAAGCATCCACTTCTTTCATCCAAAAACACACTCTAAACATATTGATATTAATTATCATATCTTTCTCCAATAATAATTAAATCACTTAAAATAAAAGCTGTAACATTAATAACTCTATTATTTTAATCTAAAATAGTTGTTAAAAGTTCTGTGATGTATTTCCTTTTAGAATTTACTAATTTCTAATTAAGCTTATTTCCAAACCATTTCTCCATGTCAAACAACTTACTTGATAGAAATTAATCCAAATTTTTGTTATTATCATCATTAATTTTTTTAAATAGTTACAAACAATCACGTAAATTTTAATAATCTGGATGTGTATTTTCAGTATGTTTTATTAGGTCTTCTAATAATAAATTGTATTTTGGAATTCTTTAGACTGGTTTAATCAAATAGCTTTCAATATCTTAATAATTATATTCCTTTAATTCAGTCATATTTTTAAGGAATTTTCTAAAATCTTCTTTATCGTTTATACATTATTTAAGGGTTGTCAAAGATTTATTAAATCCTTCATAATATGTGAAATAAACTTTAAAAAAAGGAGCTAATCCTTTGATCATAGGTCCTAATAATTTAAATCTTTTATATGGAAGAAATCCTTCTAAATCTTAAAGAAAAGGGCTATTTAATTCATACAATTATTGGAGATTATTAAATATTATTTCAATTTATTGCTTATTTAACCATTGCTTAACTTAACTTTAGACAACAATTAGAATTTTTAAGTCATGTACATAATTTCTTTCTGTATTTATAAACTCTTCAATCACAAATTTTCTATATCTATGTTATTTCTCTTTTCTATTATAAATCATTAGTCAAATAATACTATTTATAAATTTTATACAAAAATCTAAATATCTTTTTAGCAGCAAGATCTTTCTACTTCTATTAATTTACTTATGTCATCTACTATTTAAGTTTATGAGACTAATCCATTTACTGGTGCTAAGTTTCTTTCTTTTTTGTTTTAGTAACTGAGGTATCAAGAGCACCATTTCCACCTACTCTCATTATTTACTTGTATGCTAGTTACACTTATCCTTATTTATTTTTCATCCAAATAAAAATAATATTAAAACACTTTTACTTACAAAATATATAATTGTAATTAATTTGTTTATCAAATATAGATAGGTCATTATAAAGTTAAGGATAAAAATTACAGAGATAGATGTAAATAAATTATATAAATAAATATATTATCTTATATTAAATAATGATCATTAGTGATGATGTTAAAAGAATACTCTAAAATAACGACTTTTCAAGAACTAATAATTCATCGTTATCTGCAAATAAATAAATAAACTTTAAAGAATTATCAAGGAATTAATCTTCAATAAAAAGAAAAGTATTGAAAATAAAAAATAACCTAATCGCTAGAGATGATCATTATGATATAAAATAGTCATATTTTCCATAAGAAAATTAATTATAGCTATCACTTAATAACTCGATTTAAGATGATAAGAAAATGAACACTATCTAATTGTAATTGATTAATTCATCCGACTAATAATTTATTGATAATAATTACAAGACATTATATTAAGCAGTGATTGAAATATTTCCTATAGAACATGAGATTTGGAAGGATCTAATATAATAAAATTAAACTATTGAGGATGTTGTCAATAATAATTCAGAATATTTTCAAGGTTTACTTAAGGTTTGTTTATGTAAATAAGAATTAGCTCAATAAGATTTATAAAACAAAAATATAGATTTCAATGAAATCAAGTATTATCAACCAAAAAAATAAATATCTTAATATTCAAAAGATTATTCAGGATCAAAAAATCTTCCTGATTAACCTTTATTGAGTTAATCCAAAGCATATGAATAATATTATGCTCCTCATTAAGCATATCTTTAGAAAAAAAGTGTTTATAATGTATTAACATTTCTAAATCATTTTAGTAACAATTTGTACCATTGACTTTTGAGAAAGTTGATAATTTTAAGCCAGAATATAATCCTAATTTAAATTAATCAACATTTTTATCAACTTATAACTAAAATTTTATGAATTGGAAAGGTTAATATCCTGGTAAAGTAACATAATAATTATCTCCAAAATAATAATCAACTTTGCCTTTTATTGCTGAGTCTAATTATTCAAAAAACTTCAAATAAATTAAAACAGAAAAGGTTGAATTATAAAAACACATTAAATTGTATTGATATTAAAACATCTAGAGGTCCCTTTTGTGAGAATAGTGAATCCTTAATTAAAGAAACAACTTCATAACACTTTTTTTAATCCCATTATTCAGTTCCTTCAAAATTGATTAGACCTGTTAGTCCAAGATTATTTAGTACTAAATAAAGTTTTGAAGGGTAATATCGAACATCTTTTAATAAGTATTTTTATTTGCTATTAGATCTTATATGTCTAAGAATTTGAACACTGAATCATAATAATCTTCATTTGCTGAAAAATTTTATGAAAGTAATGCTGTAAAAGGATTGATAGATAAAAAAATAAAGACTAGAATTTTTTGAATATTTTTCTTATTTAAATATGTAAGATAATTATGAAAAGTTGAAGAGCAAGTTCACATTAATTCAATCTATTAATGTATCCTCTAGACCATATTAAATTACTATGAATTTTGATTGTTCTATTATACTTGTTTTTACAATCAATTCAATGCTTCAACAGTTTTAGAGTAATAAAAATGATTGGAATCTTATATTATCTTAAAAATTGAATGATTAATTCCTATCAGTATAAGTAAATTAAAAAGGAACAATTTTAGCTGTGATTTCAAGAAATTTTGGATATTTTTGGATTGAGTACCTAATTTTCCATAAAAGAAAATGGATATTTAAGAATAAATTTAAATTGAAATAAGATCCAGATCCATATGTATCCATACATAATTTTAATATATCACAAAATCTATAATTTTGCACATACTAATTTTAATGGAACAGAAAATACTAAAGGATTAATGCATTTTCTATAACTAATTTTTTCAAAAGAATTTAAAGATTAAAAATTAGAGGATCAGAAATAATATTCTCTAAAAATTGTAATTTTTTTGTAGTTCAAAGTCTAGAAAAAATGGAATTAAAAATATTTTATAATTTTCAGTTTGATTACTTACTTTTTTAATCCTAATCTATGATCAATAGTTATATTATTGAATCAAATTCTACTATATTAATCCATACAAAGGAATTAGTTTAATGGAATTTCAAAACAAATTAAATAACCAAGATTAAGACTCCAAATGATATTTTTTAGTAGAATTAATCAAGTTTGATGAGATTTATTGGAAATTTTTTGTTAGTTTAATTTAATAATGAAATAATAGTTTTTGAATAATTATAATAAAAATTGAAATATTTTACAACTTATTCTTTTAAAGGAGGATAGATATTTCAATTTTCTTTTGATAGATAAATAATGATTGAGCAGATAAACAATAAATAGTTTAATATTTTATAAATTTTATGAATGAATGATTTAAATAAATTATATTCTATTTAATGGTATTAATATTCATCCTTAATTAATAAAGAATAATATTTATTTAAATATCTATGTAAAATGAAGGTTATTCTACAAATTTAGAAAAAACAATAACCATTTTATAGAACGATAAGAAATATTTGTAAAATGAAAATGAAAAGTTGAAGTAAATATTAAATGAAATTTAGAATCTAATTAGAAGAGTCAATTGAAGAAGTGTGTTTATTAAAAGCAGAAACTAAAAGTATTAATGATCTGTTAAATAAAGAAATAGAAAAGAATAAAATAAACTAGATTCATATTGAGTAAAAAATATTTATATGTATAGATAATTAAAAAACGAACCATTATTACAAAATGAAGATACAAAATTTGAAAACTTAAATAACTACAAAAATAAAGAAGAACAACTTTATTCATTAGAGTAGAAAATCTTAAGAAATTGTGAGAAAATGAAAATGGATAAACAGAGAGAATTAGATGTTGAATTTCATAAATTTCTAGATAAACTAGAGAATAAATTTAATCAAGAAAAACAAAAATATTTTGAAAAATATTAGTTAGAAAAAAAAAATTTATAAGATGAAATTGAAAAATTATATTAAGAAATAAAATAATATAGAAGGGAGATAGTGATATTAGAGAATGAATTAGATAAATAATAAATGGAAGGAAAACATTCTTAAAAATTTAATGAATCTAAAATTTTGGACTAGAGGTTAGAGATTTATAATAATTTTGAAAAAGAAGTGCCTACTTTAAAGAAAAATTAAGATAATTTGGAATAAAAAAATTTGGAATTAAAAAATTAGGAATAAAGTAGGAAAAATAGATTAAATGGTTTAATGGAAATAAGAGATTAATAATAATTTAGATAGTAGTAAGAAAATGAATAAAAAAAGAATACAATAAAATGTAATTTAAATAATCATATTAATAGAAATGTTCAGGCATATAAAAAAATCTCATGGATTCATTGAAATATGTTTTTTATTAGATATTACAGGATCAATGGATCCATACAAATAATAGGCTAAAAAATGCATTTAAGAGAGCATTAAATAAATTAAAATGTTTACTTAAAAAGAGGCTAAATGGAGTGTGATAGGATATCAAGATTTTGAAGAATACAAATAATTGGGATCATAATATCGATAATTAAAATTTACTTAAGATTCAGGTCTTGTAGAAGAATTTTTAGACTCATTAATCTGCACAGGGGGAGGAGATGCGGCTGAAGATTTAAGAGGTGGTATGAAATAAATGGTTAAAAATCTTGAATGGGAAAAAGAATTTAGATTGGCAATTGTAATTTGTGATTCACCTACTCATGGAAAAAGATATAATGGGGGTGTAAGTGATCGCTATCCTAATGAAGATATAGAGGATGCCATATTAGGANTTAATATTCATCCTTAATTAATAAAGAATAATATTTATTTAAATATCTATGTAAAATGAAGGTTATTCTACAAATTTAGAAAAAACAATAACCATTTTATAGAACGATAAGAAATATTTGTAAAATGAAAATGAAAAGTTGAAGTAAATATTAAATGAAATTTAGAATCTAATTAGAAGAGTCAATTGAAGAAGTGTGTTTATTAAAAGCAGAAACTAAAAGTATTAATGATCTGTTAAATAAAGAAATAGAAAAGAATAAAATAAACTAGATTCATATTGAGTAAAAAATATTTATATGTATAGATAATTAAAAAACGAACCATTATTACAAAATGAAGATACAAAATTTGAAAACTTAAATAACTACAAAAATAAAGAAGAACAACTTTATTCATTAGAGTAGAAAATCTTAAGAAATTGTGAGAAAATGAAAATGGATAAACAGAGAGAATTAGATGTTGAATTTCATAAATTTCTAGATAAACTAGAGAATAAATTTAATCAAGAAAAACAAAAATATTTTGAAAAATATTAGTTAGAAAAAAAAAATTTATAAGATGAAATTGAAAAATTATATTAAGAAATAAAATAATATAGAAGGGAGATAGTGATATTAGAGAATGAATTAGATAAATAATAAATGGAAGGAAAACATTCTTAAAAATTTAATGAATCTAAAATTTTGGACTAGAGGTTAGAGATTTATAATAATTTTGAAAAAGAAGTGCCTACTTTAAAGAAAAATTAAGATAATTTGGAATAAAAAAATTTGGAATTAAAAAATTAGGAATAAAGTAGGAAAAATAGATTAAATGGTTTAATGGAAATAAGAGATTAATAATAATTTAGATAGTAGTAAGAAAATGAATAAAAAAAGAATACAATAAAATGTAATTTAAATAATCATATTAATAGAAATGTTCAGGCATATAAAAAAATCTCATGGATTCATTGAAATATGTTTTTTATTAGATATTACAGGATCAATGGATCCATACAAATAATAGGCTAAAAAATGCATTTAAGAGAGCATTAAATAAATTAAAATGTTTACTTAAAAAGAGGCTAAATGGAGTGTGATAGGATATCAAGATTTTGAAGAATACAAATAATTGGGATCATAATATCGATAATTAAAATTTACTTAAGATTCAGGTCTTGTAGAAGAATTTTTAGACTCATTAATCTGCACAGGGGGAGGAGATGCGGCTGAAGATTTAAGAGGTGGTATGAAATAAATGGTTAAAAATCTTGAATGGGAAAAAGAATTTAGATTGGCAATTGTAATTTGTGATTCACCTACTCATGGAAAAAGATATAATGGGGGTGTAAGTGATCGCTATCCTAATGAAGATATAGAGGATGCCATATTAGGATTAATTGATAAAAACATATTTTTAATGGCTATTAAATTTAATTCATATACTGAAGTTATGTATAATGAAATTAAGAAAGTATAAACTATTAATAATATAGATTTATTTAGCTTAAGGTAAACCTGAATTATTACTGGTTGAGGATGCTCAAAATATTGGTATATCAAATCTATCAAATTTATTTGTCAATATAATTTCAAATGCAACTGTAACCATAACTTAAATGAATAATACAGCCTCAAAGATAAATAATAAGAAAACATTTCAAAAGATTGAAATCATAAGTGCCATGGAAAATCTATGTAAGAAAAACACAGATCCTGTTAATTTTGACTAAGATCCTGAGATTGAAGTTATTGAAACTCAATTCGAAGTTTTTAAAGTAGAGCTATCTGATCAATTTTTGGAAAACCATATATAAAATATCAAAGCCTTTAAAACAGAAAATTGCTTTAAACCCATAAAAGAACCTGGTTTATGGGATTGCAAAAGAACAGTACATCCATTTGCTTCAGGATCACTTAAGCAGGTGTTTTTGATGAAGAAAAAGGACACTCCTACTGAATTATATGCAATAAAAATGCCATTAGGAGATAAAACTTATTAATCTATTGAAGATGCTGTTAAAGATTGCAGATCTCATTTAATTGCAAAAGGTCTTCTTGAAAAATTTATCAAAGATTTGGAAAAAAATTAAAAAAAAGATACTAAACTTTAGATATTTAATGTTCAATATACTAATATTTTAATATTAAAAGATGTAAAATAAAAAAGTATGAAATATTGTTATTTTAGATTCTTTTTGGGTAGCTGAAAGATATTTTAGTGGAAAATTTGTAAAATATAATAATAATAGTGCTTTTATATTGGATGATTCTAATTCACTTAATCATTTAATGTAAGCATTTTCATTTTATACTTTTTACAAATCAAATCTTAATTACATAATTTGTGATGTCTAAGGTATTGGATAATATATGACTGATCCTGCAATTAATACAAAAGAAGGTAGCTTTGATGAAACTGATATTGGAGAAACAGGAATCAAAAGTTATTTGGGTTCATATTAAGGTAAGAGCCATCTTGGTAGGGACTTTTTAAGAAATCTCAATATTCCTGATTTTGAAGATATTTGATAAATTATAATTATATTTAGAAACTATAATTATAAAGAGTAATATTTCATACTTTTATTATATTTTAAAAACAAAGTCGATTTATATTCATTTTTGATATTACCAACCCAAATTGATTAAATCAATATTGGAATGAATTGATAATACCTCCCTTAAAAGTAAATTAAATATATTATAATAGTATCTAATTAAATAATAAATAAAAATATTAAATCATTTTTTAATAAATAAAATTCATCGATTAAATCATCAAATGGCTTTTACTTTTCACTTTCATCAATATTGAGTCTTTAGAATATATCAATTAATTAATTTAATTCATTCCTTAATAATATATTTTAGATAAAAATAAATTTATTAAATTATGAGAATAACTTAGTAAAATTAACAATAGAAACTACTATAGAAATATATTCAATTAATAATTTATAGTTTGTTATACTATCCAAGAATGTTTATACATGATTATTTATTATTCCTTAATCTTTTTATATTGTTGATTATGATTAAATTTTAGATTTTCTATTCTTTTTTATTTCATATTCTATCTTTGTTTCTTTCGAATTTTAATTATTTAATCTAAAGAGGTTTAAATTTACGACACTTTGTCTAAAATAAATTCTTAGTATACAGAATTGGGTATCCAATTACTTAAATTAATAAAACATAAAAAATCAGTGTAAAATGTATTTTTTAATATTTACATATATGATATATTATTCATAATAAATGCCAAAAAAGCAAATACAATGAAGAACTCCTCAATAAATTCTCTATTTCTTTTTATTTTTTATATTATATTAATGTTTGGCAACATCCCATAATTGAATAAATCATAAGAATATCCTAAAATTAATTAATATTTTTTACTATTGGTAAACCAACAACAGCTAAAGAAGACATAAAACATATATTAATTAATTTAAATCTATTTTGATCGTTCTAAATAGTTTATAATGATTTAAGTTGACTAGTCTTTAATAATCCATAATTAACTATTCCAAAGACCAAAGGCATAATAAAATAAGAATCGTATGTAGTCATTTCTATTCCAAAAAATTGATATGGATGAAGTCCATTCCAATAAACAACAGCTCTTAGTTGATTTGTAAACATATATAACTAATAAAAATACTTTAATATATATACAGTAGCTAAAGAAGCAGTAATCTATTTGCCATTCATTAAATCATATTTATTAGTGAAGTTATTAATACTTTAAGGGACATACATAAATTTATGAATAAGATTATAGGTGATCTTGGCCATAAAAAATGATGTTAATGCATAGGTTGGAATTGAGAGATAGTTTTCTAATAATAACAATATTTATCTATTTATTATACCACATTTGCATTAATTATTGAATTTGTAATGATGTTATCTATAGGTGCAGTTAGAAATGAATATTTGTTAATTGATTTTTTGAATAACATTATATTATAATTAATATATCACTCCACAAAGAAATGTACAGCAATTTATCTGATTTCTTTATAAGAAGACANAATACCTCCCTTAAAAGTAAATTAAATATATTATAATAGTATCTAATTAAATAATAAATAAAAATATTAAATCATTTTTTAATAAATAAAATTCATCGATTAAATCATCAAATGGCTTTTACTTTTCACTTTCATCAATATTGAGTCTTTAGAATATATCAATTAATTAATTTAATTCATTCCTTAATAATATATTTTAGATAAAAATAAATTTATTAAATTATGAGAATAACTTAGTAAAATTAACAATAGAAACTACTATAGAAATATATTCAATTAATAATTTATAGTTTGTTATACTATCCAAGAATGTTTATACATGATTATTTATTATTCCTTAATCTTTTTATATTGTTGATTATGATTAAATTTTAGATTTTCTATTCTTTTTTATTTCATATTCTATCTTTGTTTCTTTCGAATTTTAATTATTTAATCTAAAGAGGTTTAAATTTACGACACTTTGTCTAAAATAAATTCTTAGTATACAGAATTGGGTATCCAATTACTTAAATTAATAAAACATAAAAAATCAGTGTAAAATGTATTTTTTAATATTTACATATATGATATATTATTCATAATAAATGCCAAAAAAGCAAATACAATGAAGAACTCCTCAATAAATTCTCTATTTCTTTTTATTTTTTATATTATATTAATGTTTGGCAACATCCCATAATTGAATAAATCATAAGAATATCCTAAAATTAATTAATATTTTTTACTATTGGTAAACCAACAACAGCTAAAGAAGACATAAAACATATATTAATTAATTTAAATCTATTTTGATCGTTCTAAATAGTTTATAATGATTTAAGTTGACTAGTCTTTAATAATCCATAATTAACTATTCCAAAGACCAAAGGCATAATAAAATAAGAATCGTATGTAGTCATTTCTATTCCAAAAAATTGATATGGATGAAGTCCATTCCAATAAACAACAGCTCTTAGTTGATTTGTAAACATATATAACTAATAAAAATACTTTAATATATATACAGTAGCTAAAGAAGCAGTAATCTATTTGCCATTCATTAAATCATATTTATTAGTGAAGTTATTAATACTTTAAGGGACATACATAAATTTATGAATAAGATTATAGGTGATCTTGGCCATAAAAAATGATGTTAATGCATAGGTTGGAATTGAGAGATAGTTTTCTAATAATAACAATATTTATCTATTTATTATACCACATTTGCATTAATTATTGAATTTGTAATGATGTTATCTATAGGTGCAGTTAGAAATGAATATTTGTTAATTGATTTTTTGAATAACATTATATTATAATTAATATATCACTCCACAAAGAAATGTACAGCAATTTATCTGATTTCTTTATAAGAAGACACAAAAAAGCTAGGTAAATTGGATTCAATTAAATAATCAATTTATATCCAAGCTACTTTTGATCTTTTATTTGTATGGTATTTCAATTTTAGAAAAATGAGATATAAAATTACAATAATCCAATTGCCTATATCAAAGAAGAGTTTAGCAAATAAAAGTATAGGAAATAACATAATTTCCACTTTTTATTTTTGTATCATAATAAGTTCTTTATTTTACTTAGTTTTATCAATATACCTTTACATTCCTATACTAATAATCATACAATTTTAATACTTTCATATATTGATTTATGATGAAGGAATAAGAATTCTGATATACCAACCCAGGAATGCATTAGAATAGGACTATATATTAATATATTATGCATTCTCTCAAAAAAGTGGAATAGGAATAGAAACACCAAATTATGAAAAAATTCATTTGTTATCATTAGTTTTACATATTGTTTTTTCTATAAAATTTATGTATTTCTTATTTATCTTTGCAATGCTAAAAAATTGAAGAGATATCCAAAAACTTAGGCTACACCTTACATGAATAATAAAAGCATAAAGGACATTTTGAATATATTTTCAGTACTATATGTATAATATGGTAATTTAGATTCTTCTTTAACATTTGATATTTTAGTATTATCAATTTGATACTTTTTATTAACATTTTCTTTGTACCAAATCTATTTTAAATATTCTAATCTCTCTTTAGATCTAAGTATATATTAAATATATTACATAGAATTATCAGCTGATTAAATATATTAATTCCACTTTTCATCTTTATTAAAATCATAATCTTCATACATGATTAATATAATATTAATGAATAATAATTAGATTCTCAATAAAAAATACATAATCAATTATGGTGGTTAATTGAAGTATTACAAAAAGAAATCAAAAAGATAAGTTCATAAAACAGAAGATTATAGTGATTAAATTTCTTAACCATTACCTCCAATTTTATAAGCTGCTAGAATCAATACATAATTAGAAAATATTAATCTCAAATACAGAACTAAACCTCATTCTAATTACACTACAAGTACTCCTAATAATAAAAATACATCTCTACCTCTTTTAAAAATATTACCAAATGATAATGAAGAGTAAATTAAATAAAAAATAAATTCATGTTTTCTTTAATCAAATTAAGCAAAAGTTATCATAAAAAATGATTTTCTTAAACAAAATATGATTGGATATAGCAAAGTAAGTACAATTATGATAATTTGATAGTATATTATTAACATTGTTATTTTATTTATTACTCTTATTATTTTTGATATTATTATATATATGAAAATGTTCTGAGAATTTGATTATATATTGATTATTACTTTAAGATAAAATAATATACGATTAAAATTATTATATAAGTTAAGTAATAATTTATTCGTTAAAATGAGATAATCTAATTATAAAGAAAATAGACAATAAAGTAGTTAAAGAAAGATGTCTGATTATATAAAGAGTACATTAGGAAGTAATTAATAAATACATGAACCTTTATCTAATAAAAAGAATTAATTAAATGAATTGGAATATTAATTATAATAGATGGTTAAAATAAAGAGTTCATTAAATTAATTTTGTGGACTTAAAGAGAATAAAGAAATAAGATAGAGTAAAGAAAATAGAGAAATACTTTATCCATTATAATAATAGTAAAATAATGATAGATAATCTTAATTAGTATAAGTATGAAATATATATATATTAAAAGACTGGAAATTTTGGACATCCAGAGTCATAATTATCACATAGAATTAGTACTTAAAGGACACTACCAGCATTTGAAATTCATGAGGATATTCCAACTATTGAAGATTTAAGGAAATTACAAAATTAGATATTGGATTTGAATTCTTTTAGTGTAGAATAAATGGATGAATTAAAGAAATTGTCTTCAATAATATTATTCAGAATGAGGAATATAAGAAAATAATGATACATAATTTATATAAATATTATATAAATGGATAAAAAATATTAAGACCTTGTAGAGAAGAAAGGGATATTAGAGAATGAACTTAAAAACTTAGAGAAGAATATATTTGATGAAGAAACAAGATATTTGGAAGAAACAGGTCATATAGGTAATGTGATCAAAGGATGGGAAGGATACTTGAATATGAAGAATTCTAAATTAGGTGGAAATTTATAAAGGAAAGGAAAGATTAATCCAAATGATAGGATATTTTCATAGAGTAGCAAAACATCACCTTTTATATAAGAAATTTCATAACCTGTTTAAACAACAGGAACATAAAAATAAATTTTGAATGAAGGAAGTGGAGAAGAGAAAAAAGAATATCATTTTAGAAGGACAAAGAAAAATAATAAATATGTTAGATTTTAAAAGGGGTAATTTAAATTTATAATGTTTTAGTGAAGGAGGGTATCATTCTCCAATGACTTCTAGTGATGAATATCATGAAAAGAAGGGAAAGGTACATAAAAAAATTTGAATTTTTAAGATATATATGATATATATTTACTATATAGTAGATATTTAAGTAAAATGAATAGGAATATTATTTTATTATTAATTTTTTTTGTTAAAATTACAGATGGTAAATACATATTCTTATCATTTTATAGCCACAACCACTAGTTTGGGTATAAGTGAAGCAATCTGGATAAATTCCAACACCTAGATCAGGTCATACATTTGTAACTGTTGGAAGAACTCATATCCTTTTTGGAGGATTAGATAGTGAAAAAAAACCAGATGCCGAAAAGAAAAATACTAAGATTGCACCGAATAATTAAGGTACATATTGTCATTAACATATAAGTTTATTCATTAAGAGTAGCACCAAATGTTTGTGAATGGAAGTTAGTATAATGTATTGGGGATCCACCATTACCTAGAACCAATCATGCTGCATGTGCTATTGGACCAGATAAAATGCTTATTTTTGGTGGATTTTACACATCAAATCTCCGTTTTAATGACACTTTCATCTTAAGAACAACTAATTTTTAATGGGCACAACCACCCAATTAAAAAGTAACTGGGGAACCTAAAAATGCTGAATCTAAGATTGGAGCACCAGAACCTAGAGGAAATCATTCAGCTACCTTTCATAAAAATAAAGTTTATGTTTTTGGAGGACATGGAGGAGTTGGATATGCTACTAAATCTTTCAATGATTTATATGTTTTAGATTGTGAAAGTTTCGAATGGTCTTAATTAGAGCCAACTGGAACACCACCTGATCCTAGAGGAGGACATAATTCATAAATTATGGGATTAAATGATTTGTTAATGATTTTTGGCGGATGGAATCAAATATCATAATTTTAAAATATCATTATATATGATATTAATAACAATAGTTGGGTAGATCCAGAAATCTCGCATGAAATACCTAAATGGAATATGGCTGGAATCATGGTACCATCTATTCCATCATGGAAATATTTCATTTTTGGTGGATAAGTAGGAAATTTTGAAGAAGGTGGTAACAGAACAGCAAGTAGATTAGTAGATGATACTTTTGTTTTAGATGTAGATGCTAAGAAATGGTCACCTGTTTAATTGGAAGAAGATAAACCAGTCAAACCTAAAACTAGAGAATCTACAACTTTAATTTATGATTCATCAGACTCTAGGATTATGATGTTTGGTGGTTGGTCAAATGCATGGATGAATGATATGTATGCATTAAATGTATCATCAATTGTTGGACCTCCTTATGCTATTTATTCAATTAAACCATGTTTAGGTCCATTAACAGGAAAAACAAAAGTGTCTATAGCAGGAGATGGCTTTAAGGATTCACAGAATATTGTTATAAGATTCTTTTCAGGAAAAGCTTAAGAAGATGTTCCAGGAGTTTTTGTTAGTCCTACTGAAATAACATGTGAAACACCTTCATATGAAAAACATGGAGCTAGAAAAGCTGAAGTTAAAGTCAGTATGGATAAATAAGATTTTACTATTATGAGTCAATTTTATTCATATTTCTTAAATTCAAAAGCTGAAAAGACATTAATGTTTGGACCAGGAGTATTGAGAGAAAATGCAATAAAAATTGATACTATGTTTTATATTCAAACAAGAAATTTGAATAATTAGAATAGAGAAAGTGGTGCTGATGAATTTTAAATAGAAATTACTAGACCTGATATATTAGCAGAATTAGAAGAGGAAAGATAAAGAGAAGCCATTAGATTATAATAATTAGAATAAATGGATCCTGAGGAGAGAGAAAGAATAGAATAGGAATCACATAAAAAAAGAATTGTTAAGAGAAAGAAAGTTAAAATACCATAAGAAGGAGAAGAATAAGGTGAAAATTAAGAATCTGAATATGAAGAAGTTGAAGAAGATGTACCTTAAGAAAAAACAAGATTATAATTGTTAGAAGAAAAAGCTAATATTAAATATACTATTCATGATAATGATGATGGATCTTATGCTGTTAAATATTAAATTGAAGAACCATGTGAAGTTATTGTTAATGTTAAATTAAAGAATGAAAGAGGTGAATATAATGAAATTAGAGGTTCTCCTAAAAAAGCATAATTTGTAGATGGTGTTGGACCTAAAAATAATTAATACACAGGTTAATAATTAGTTAATTATGTTACTAATAAAAATGAAGAAATTAATAAATTAATTGATACATCAAGAGATAATATTAATATTAAAGATAAAAATATCTAAGAAGATGTCAATAGTTTATTAGAAGTTATGGAGAATCTTAAAAAGATTTCAGATGAAAAAGAAAACATTCTTTTATTATTAGATGAAAATGAATAAATATTAAGAACCTTAGAAAAACATGATATGAAAAAAGAAACAGAAATTAAAAAAGTGAATAAAATGTAAGAAGAATGGAAAAATTTGTTGAAGATTTCATAAACTGTTGAAAAAGACATAAGTGGTCCAGTTAAATAAGAAGCTGATAAGACAAAAGAAAAGATTAAGAAATTTGAAGAATAATTAAAGGAATATTTACAAGGTCTTAAAAAAGAAACATTTTATTAATATAAAACTGGTATTAAGGACTCATAAGAAAGATTTGCTGAAGTATAAGCATAAATAGATAAATTTACAAAAACACTTTAAAATTATGAATATTATTCAAGAATGTTCAATTTTCCAGATGAAGTTGTTGGCTGTTAAAAAAATTTAGATGCTATCAAATAAGAAGTAGCTGCTGTTCAATTATTATGGGAACATATTAAAAAATGTGAATAAAAATTCTCAGATTATAAGAGATATAAATGGGCAACAATTGATCCAAATGAAATGGAAGATGAAGTGAAAAAGCTTCGTAAATTCTTAATTGATATGAAGGGTATTGATAAAAGATCAAATGTATTCACTGGTATAAATGAAGATTTACGTAAATGGGGTACATTCATACCATTATTAACTGAATTGAAAGATCCAGCTATGAACACAAGTGATAGTAGACATTGGAAAGAAGTTAAAGTTGTTGTAAACCAAGATTTTGCTATTGGAGATGATATGGAATTAGATGTTATTTGGAATCTTAAACTTTTTGATTATAGAGAAAAAATTGAAGATATCTCTGAATAAGCTAAATAAGAATTAAAAATGGAGAAAGGTATAATCAAAGTAGATACATTCTGGAAGGATGTATAATTTGAATTATTGAAACATAAGGATACTGATGTCAGAACATTAAAAATGTTAGATGAACATTTTGAAACATTAGAAGAACATTAATTATAGGTTAATAATATGTTATTGAGTAAATATGTGAAATTCTTTGAGAAAGATGTTGAAAAATGGAAATAAGATTTAGGAGCTATTTATGATGTTATATAATTATTATCAGAAGTACAAAAAACATGGTCATTTTTAGAAAATTTATTTATTTAATCAGAAGAAGTTAAGAAAGAATTACCAAAAGAATCAGAATAATTTGTTGGAATAGATAAAAGTATGAAAGAAATTATGGAATCTGGTTGTTAGATTAAGATAATTTTAAAGTTCTGTACATAACCAAATATGTTAAAATCATTAGAAAAGATCTAAGCTGATTTGAAAGTTTGTGAAAAAGCATTGAATGAATTTTTGGATTCTAAAAGAAGAGCATTCCCAAGATTTTATTTCGTTAGTGTTAATGATTTATTAGATATCCTTTCTAATGGTAATTCACCTGCAAAAATTAATAGACATATGTCAAAGATATTTTAAGCTATTGATAAATTAGAATTATAAGAAAAAGATAATGAAAGACCATTTGCTAAAAAGATGATTACATGTGTTGGACAAGAAGAAGTTGTTCTAGTTTAACCTTTATAATTGTTAAATAAAGTTGAAACTTATTTATAAGCTATGATTGATTCTATGATTGATACTCTTAGAGAATTAGCTAAGAAATCATTTGGTTGTTATGATGCTAAAACATGTTAATTATAAATGGATAGAAAAACATGGATAGATTAGGATCCAGCTTAAATTGCATTATTAGTCAATAATATTATGTGGTCAGTTCAAGTAGAAGAAGCATTTGCAAAAATAGCAAATGGAGATATGAATGCACTTAAAGATTATTATAAGAAAAGTGTTGATGCTCTTACTGAATTAATTAGATTTGTTAGAGGTGATTTAACTAAATCTTTAAGATAAAAATTAATGTGTTTGATTACTATGGATGCTCATTCTAGAGATACTATTGGAAAATTGATTGATGAACATGTTCGTAAACCAGATGAATTTTAATGGTAATCTTAATTAAAATTCTATTGGGTTGATAATGATGCTCTTATTAGAATTGCTGATGCATCTTTTAATTATTCATATGAATATTTGGGTAATGGTCCAAGATTGGTTATTACTCCATTAACAGATCGTATTTACGTCACAGCCACATAAGCATTACATTTAAAGATGGGTTGTGCACCTGCTGGTCCTGCAGGAACAGGTAAAACTGAATCCACTAAAGATTTAGCTAATGCATTAGCTAAAGCATGTTATGTGTTTAATTGCAGTTCAGAAATGAATTATGAATCTATGGGTAATATCTATAAAGGACTTGCTAGTTCTGGATGTTGGGGTTGTTTTGATGAATTTAATCGTTTATTACCAGAAGTCTTATCAGTTTGTTCAGTCTAATTTAAGGCAGTCACAGATGCTATCAAATAATAAAAAAAGACATTTTTATTCCCAGGAGGAGGTGAAATTTCATTAGATCCAACTTGTGGTGTGTTTATTACAATGAATCCAGGATATTTAGGAAGAGCAGAATTACCAGAAGGATTAAAAGCATTGTTTAGACCAATTACAGTGGTTGTACCAGATTTAGAATTGATTTGTGAAAATATGTTGATGGCTGAAGGATTTGAAGAAGCTAAGACATTAGCACATAAATTTGTTACATTATATATGTTATGTAGAGATTTATTATCAAAATAATTACATTATGATTGGGGACTTAGAGCTATTAAATCAGTGTTAGTGGTAGCTGGTGGTTTCAAGAGAGCTGAACCAAATATTGCTGAATAGGCTTTATTGATGAGAGCATTAAGAGATTTCAATATACCAAAGATTGCATTTTAAGATTTAGATGTTTTCTCAGGATTATTATCAGATTTATTCCCAAATATTAATATTCCAAGAAAAAGAGATATGGCATTTGAAGGAATTATTGAATAAGTTACAGCTGAAAATAGATTAGATCCAGATCCTGATTATATTTTGAAGATTGTTTAAGCATCAGAATTATTGGAAATTAGACATTGTATTTTCGTTATGGGTCCACCAGGAGCTGGTAAATCAACTACATGGAAAATGTTGGCTAAAGCTTAAGATAAGGCTGGTAAGAAGACAACTGTGGTTGATTTAGATCCAAAAGTTGTTAGTACAAGGGATTTATATGGTTATAATTTACCAACAAAAGAATGGAAAGATGGTTTAGTTTCAAAAGTTATGAGATCTTTAAGTGAAATATAAGATATAAATCCAAAATGGATATTACTTGATGGAGATTTAGATGCAAATTGGATTGAATCAATGAATTCTGTTATGGATGATAATAAGATATTAACATTAGCAAATAATGAAAGAATTCCATTAAAACCACATATGAGAATGCTTTTTGAAATTAGAGATCTTCGTTTTGCAACTCCTGCTACAGTATCTAGAGCTGGTATTTTATATATTTCAGATGATAAGGGATATTAATGGAGAGCATATGTGAAATCATGGGTTAAGAATAACTTTAATGATGATAAATTTAAATAAGATTTATAAAAGTTATTTGATAGATATATTGAAGGTACTTTATTATTTTTGAAGAAACATTGTAAAACTTTAATTCCAGTTAATCCAATATCAATGATTATTTCTTTATGCAAAGCTTTATTGCCATTATTATAAGGAGAAGTAAAGAATATGGAATATCATTTTGTATATTGTTGTGTTTGGGCTATTGGAGGTGTTTTATCTGAAAAAGACTCTATTGATTATCGTAAAGATTTTTCAAATTGGTGGAAAGGAGAATGGAAAACATCAGTCAAATTCCCTAGTAAGGGTACAGTTTTTGATTACTTTGTTGAATAAAATACAGAGAATGTTAAATTTGATGAATGGGCTAAGAGATTAACAAATATAGATTTTGATCCTTAAGTAATGGTTATGGGTAATATCACAGTTCCAACAAAAGAAACTTTGGCTACAAGTGAATTAGTTAAATAATTTATTTATGTTTAACAACCAGTATTAATGATTGGTTAATCCGGTTGTGGTAAAACTTAATTGGCTAAGGGTATATTGAGAGATATTGTAAAAGCTCAACCAGATAATTTTACTTATTAATTGATCAATTTTAATTATTATACAGATTCAACATATTTGTAGGCTCAATTAGAATAATAATTGGAGAAGAAAGCAGGTAGATAATTTGGACCATAAGGTAAAGGTAAATTAATATATTTCATTGATGATTTGAATATGCCTTAATTAGATCCATATGATACTTAAACAGCTATTGCATTATTAAGATAACATGCAGATTATGGTCATTGGTATGATTTAGGTAAATTGAGTTTGAAAGATATTATCAATACTTAAACTATAGCAGCAATGAATCCATCAGCTGGTTCATTCTTTGTTAATCCAAGATATTAAAGACATTTTTGGACTGTTTCAATTCCTATTCCTGATAATGAAAGTTTGTTCTTAATTTATAATACATTCTTATCAGGACATCTTAAGAGATTTAAACCAGCTGTTTCTGAAAATGGACCTGCTATTATTAAAGCTGCTTTATAATTACATACTAGTGTCATTTAGAATTTCAGAAAAACAGCCATAAATTTCCATTATGAATTCAATCTTAGACATATTTCAAATGTTATTTAAGGATTATTATTAGCAGATCCTGCTAAATTTATTGATTCAGATAAATTAATTAGATTATGGGTTCATGAATCTGAAAGAACATATGGTGATAGATTAGTATCAATGGATAATCTTAATACATATAAAGCATTAATGTTTGATTTGTTAAAGAAATAATTCACCAAATTTAATTTCAGTAGATTCTTTGCAAAAGATAATCCTGAAAATTTAATCTTCTGTAACTTCTTAGCTGGTATAGGAGGAGATAGATTTTATGATTAAATGCCAAATGATAAATTAGAACCAGTAATTACTGAAGCATTAAAAGAATATAATGATAACTTTGCTTATATGGGATTAGTATTGTTTGAAGATGCACTTAAACATGTATGCAGAATCACAAGAATAGTTTTACCACCAGGTGGACATTCATTATTAGTAGGAGTAGGAGGTAGTGGTAAATAATCATTAACTAAATTGGCTGCATTTATCATGACATATACTCTATTCATGATTACTATATCAAGCAATTATGGTATGAATGATTTAAGAGGTGATTTGTAATTACTTTACTAAAAATCAGGTGTTAGGGATGAAGCTATTATGTTCTTATTCAATGAAGGTCAGATCACAAGTGAAAGATTCTTAACTTATATCAATGATTTATTATCTTCAGGTGAAGTAGCAGAACTTTATAATTCAGATGAAAAAGAAGTTTTGATTAATCAAATTAGACCTAAAGTTAAAGCTGATGGTAGACCAGATACAAGAGATTCATGTTGGGGATGGTTTATTGATAAAGTAAGATAAAATTTACATATGACTTTGTGTTTCTCACCAGTAGGTGAATCATTACGTAAAAGAGCTCGTTAATTCCCTGCTCTTGTCAATTCTACTGTTATTGATTGGTTCTAACCATGGCCTTAAGATGCACTCTATAATGTTGCTTAATAATTCTTAAAAGATATTGATGTACCTACAGATTAAGTTAGAGAAGCTATTGTTAAATTTATGCCATTCTCATTCAAATTAGTTAATGATTTATCAGTTAAATTGTTAGAATAAGAAAGAAGATATGTTTATACTACACCTAAATCATTCTTAGAATTAATTAAATTATATATATTTATGTTGAAGACAAAGAAAGGAATGCTTGAAAAGAATAAGGAAAGATATGAAAATGGTCTTATTAAATTAAGATCTACTTAAGATTTAGTGGCTGAAATTGAAGTTCAAGTTAAGGAAAAACAATAAGAAGCTGAATAAATTAAAAATGAAGCTAATTAAGTGGCTGAAGTAGTTGGTAAAGAAAAGGCTAAGGCTGAAATAGAAAATGCAAAAGCTGCAGATGAAGAAGCTAAATGTTCAACTATTAAATAAGATGTTGAATAGAAAAAGACATCTACTTAAGCTGATTTAGATGCTGCTATTCCTTTAGTAGAATAAGCCAAAGCTGCCTTGAATGGTTTGAGTGAAAAAGATTTCTAAGTTGCTAAAAACTTTGCTACTCCACCTTCTGGTGTACCTGATGTATTCTCAGCAACCATTTTCTTATTAGCTGGNGATTTCTGAACATAAACATGTTCAAACAGGTGTTATGTTAGATGAAAAAGCAGCAGCTTAAATTGATCTTGGAAAGAAAAAGGATGGATAAGAAGAAGGAGAAGAAGCTGAAGGAGAAGAACAATAATAAGAAGAACAATAAGAAGAACAATAAGAAGAATAATAATAAGAAGAATAATAATAAGGTGAATAATAAGAGGGAGAATAAGGAGAAGGTTAATAAGGTGAAGGAGAAGAAGGTGGAGAAGCAAAAGAAGGTGAAGAAGGAGAATAAAAAAAAGAAGAATAAGTTGAAGAATAAAAGAAAAATGCTGATGATGATCAATTAACTCCATAATCTTTGAGAAAGAGAGTTAATTAATTGATAGAAAGTATTACTTACACTTCTTTCTAATATGCTAGAAGAGGATTATTTGAGAGACACAAATTGATTGTTTCAACTATGCTTACATTAAGAATTAATTTAAAAGCAGGAAAATTACCAAAAGAATAAGTTGATCATTTAATTATTGGTAAAATTGAATTAAATCCACCTCCTATGCCTGAATCATTGAAATCATTTTTGAATGATACTATATGGGCATGTTGTAAAGCTTTGGAATAAATTCCTGAATTTAATGGCCTTGGATAAAGTTTAGAAGTTGACAATCTATAATGGAAGAAATGGTATAATGAAGAAAAGGCTGAAATTAGTGATTTACCAAAGGCATTCAGTCATCTTAAGAAATTCCATAGATTATTATTATTAAGAACAATGAGACCTGATAGATTAACATCAGCTATGGCTAATTATGTTGCTGAAGAGATGGGAGATAAGTATGTTGAATAACCTCCATTTTCCATCTTTGAAACATTTAATGAAATGGCTCCAACTACACCTGTTTTCTTTGTATTGTTCCCAGGAGTAGATCCTACACCTGAAGTTGAAAGAGTAG